ATATGTACATGTATTAAACTCATAAAGTTATCCGAATAATTTTTTTTGCATTTGCTGTAGAGTGAAACTATAGTGTCCTTTCAGCTTGTGTATATTTTTAGTTATTGTAGTGTTTACCTGAAAGTCAATTTTGACGTTGCTTTTTAGATTTTTACTTTCTTGCTGCTCTATATTTTTATTATTTTCATGAACAGATTTGTAAGTGCTCCCCCTATTGGTCACCTGTATATCAGGATATGTGATTACCAACCCTGCTTCAAATACTTCTGCTATGATATACATATGTAGGGTGCCACTTGAAGTGGTAGTTGCTGGTCATGCTGGTGCTTTAGTATTTTGAGTCACTGACATAAAACAAGTATTGAGTAACTCTGTGTTTCATCTGATTTTCACCAGGCTTGTTCTCAGCCTGTGCCCCAGAAATATTGAAACCAGACACTGCCAAGCAACTAGGATTTTCAGAAGTAGGCAAACAATGGCACCCTGTGTATTTAATGACTGTCTGTGAATGTTCTTATTTATCCAGGTCACAGTATAGCTGGTAGTAGTTAGTAACATTCAACATGTTCTGTAATGTTAAAGATGTTTCATCAGTCGATGCTTCTTCAGTTCTGATCAATGGGTAGAAATGTAAAAACTGCATTATATGTGGGAGACAGGTGGTGTAGAAGACCCTCACCCCTGTTCCAATTTGACGTAGATGGCCTTTTTCACACCTTTTTGGTACTGGTTGTCCTCTGTGTCTACTATGTGCATCTTATTGTCCTTAAAATGTAGGGAAACTGCTGACTTTTGACTTGTAGAACATGTCCTTCTATGTTGGGCCATTCATTTATTGAGATGTTGTTTTGTCTCCCCAATGTACATGTCTTTGTATTCACTACACAGTACTGCTTACTTTGCTTGTGTTTGGATGTTGGATCTCTTGGATGTACAAGCTTCTGTCTGGGTGTATTACTTGCTTAAAAGACACAGGGATGCAGTGCTTGTTTTTTAAAGATCCATCTGAGTTGTTCTGACACTCCAGCTACATATAGGATGACTGTATTACTCCATATGTTCTTCTATTCTACTTCTCTTTTGCTTGACCTTGTGGATGACTTAATGAAAGCCCAGTCTGGGTAGTCACAAAGCACTCCTAAAATTGTATTATTGGTTCTAAGATTCTGTGTTTGATGCCATCTCAACCCACTGTTAAACCGCAACTTTCACACTTCCCACCCTGTTCTTGGACAATCAACATCTGCTTTTCCTTGGTGATTGGATTAAGTTGTCTGTGCTACCTATGCAGATATAAATGCTGTGGTATGTCCCTGACATTTATCAGAACTGAAGACGTGGCTTGGATAAGCTACGGAATGTCTTCTACATTACAGAACAGGTCCAGTTGAATGTGGCTTTCTACTACTAGCAATCTATTAATTACTGTTCAGGTGAGCTTTGCTAATTATATGGAGATTTTGTTCAGGTTAGACTTGGCCCATAAAAGCAAAGTCATTATTTACATTTACAAACCAGTAAGGTTGTGGGTGACATGGAAGACATGGGTGACAAAGGTGACATTAAAATATAGTCCATATACCCACCGCACTCAGATGCTGCTATTCCAACGTGATAAGATGGGTGCTAGGGTTGTCGGCGGATGGCAACCGCCTCGTCATATGAACAAAAGCATGGACACTGGCACTCCAATAGCTGATTAAGTACGTCTATTTATTACCGTATGTGCTGCATAGCAAATACACTTAATGCAACGTTTCGGGGTCGCAAAGGATCCCCTTCATCAGGCAGAAACAAGTGAGGACATTAAAGCTTGCAGTCTTTGGGTCCTCTTTCTCCAAGGGTGAGTCAGTACTGAATGCTGAAGAGAGTCCTGAATAGCCTGATTACCTGCCCTCAGGGGACGGGTCCCTGATGCTGTAGGCTAACAGGATGTGGGTGCAATTTTACTGGGTTTCATTCACACCAGAAGACTGGCACTGGCTCGCATTGTGGTAAGTCTGTGAGGGACAGTGCTGAAGATAGGTGGGAAGATTGGGGAGGAGGGTTGGTATATAGGGGTATATAGTATATATATATACATGTATATATATGGAAAGAGCAATACATTTACAGATTTTTGATGTTACATTCCGGTACATTATATTGGAACTAGTGAAAAACACTGATATTAAGTACTAAGATAATAGGTAACGCAGTTGGCAGATAACAATGGTAAATGCTGCTGGTCATAAGGCATGATTGCCAACTCATCCCTTTAATTACTGTCAGACATGAATTACTGACTTCATGTAGCAATCTACAGAACCTGTGTATCTTACATATGTCTGTAATTAAAGTGATGAGTTCTCAACCCTGGCATAAAGGTTCCTTGTACACTGTATAAACACAGATTATAGATCACTCTTGGGAATGCAGCTGTCAATACTCAGTGACACTTCTCTCAGCTCTAAACACAACAGAGATGTTACATATATCATCAAAGGTGAATTTGGTGCTCAGAGAATTGTCAGTAAGTATTGGACTTTGGATTCCCTTAGCAATCTCCTTCCTCCCCGATGGATGCATTAAGCTCAGAAGTGTTCAAATGGCATCAGGTGCGATATTCAGGAGCCTGAGTACAGGCAATGCAAAAATCATACGGTGTATTCTAACATATAGATGTATTAATAAATATTAAATTATGTTCTTATGTGATAATAGGAACTTTTCCTCTGTTTATAATCCCAATTATGCTCTGTAGGCATTAAAATTCT